CGAAAAAAGTTAATTAACTAATTAAATAACTAATTTAAAAAATGATATAAAACGGCAACAAACTAACATTAATAACATACGCATTAAAAAAAAGAAAATACTTTCCATGGAGATAACAGCAAGCCCCCGTGTGGCCCGTGGTCATGCTACCAATCGTGTTTGCTAGGTACTTCCACACTGTTCCGAAAGTTGCACAATATCTTTTCGGCTCAACTCTAGGCCCGTGTAGGCTCAGGCTTAACTCTTTCACTACCTTGGGGTTTTCCTCTCCTGGACCGGGCCCTATCTGTGACCCATTTTCTGATTTTACCTGCCGTCGGACAAATTAAAGATTTTGAGTTCAATTTTCAATATTAGCCACATGTATTATGTGTATGAAAATAATGGGGACATAACGCTCTTCTCAACATGTAGCTAAAAGTTAATGATCATTCTTTTGTCTGAGATTTTAATTTCTGTTAACTAATTAAAAAGTGAGACTGGTTTTGAAGCAGAAAGTGGAGATCCGTCAAACAAGGGGATCGCGGTCCAACATTTGGAGATATGAAATAACTAAATATTGTCACGACGTGGTGGAATCAGGCGCTCATCAATTTTTGGGCATTTGGAGTTATTGATACCATCTGAAAGCTTATTCATTTGCGTTGTTTTCAATTTTAAAAAATCCAATTAGCTTAAATAGAAGTTGAGATATTTGCAATTGAAGGAGGTGAGGTAGCCTGGTTTTAGTGATAAAATTAAGAAGAAAAAGGCCACCAAAGTTTGGTAACTTCAATACCTTATGAGTCCATGAAAACTGAGAATTACATACATTGTGCCTTTAAAAACGTTCTTCAACAAAATTCACATGGAAAGGTGCTTTCACAAAAACATAAAAGGGGTTTAGCCCAAAAACAAAATGTCGATAAAAATTGGCAAAATGGTGGGAAAATGCCTTTTTCTTCTATTTCATTATTTTGACGAACGCCCTATTTCAGCAGGATGTCTCACCCATGTACTTGTTCCCCGCCCTCAGAGAAAGCCTCACCCATGTACTTGTTCCCCGCCCCCCAGGATGTCTCACCCATGTACTTGTTCCCCGCCCTCAGAGAAAGCCTCACCCATGTACTTGTTCCCCGCCCCCCAGGATGTCTCACCCATGTACTTGTTCCCCGCCCTCAGAGAAAGCCT